CATCATCGTCACCATCATCATCATCATCATCATCATCATCATCATCATCATCATCATCATAATCAGCATCATCAGCATCATCATCATCATAATAATCCTCATCATCAGCATCATCATCATCAGCATCATCATCATCATCAGCAGCAGGAGCAGCATCATCATCATCACCACCATCATCATCATCATCACCATCATCATCATAATCATCGTCATCATCATTATCATCATCATCAGCATCATCCTCATCATCATCATGATCATCATCATCATCATCATCATCATCATCATCATCATCATCATCATCGTCAACAGCATCAGCATCAGCATCATCAGCATCATCATCAGCATCAGCATCATCAGCATCAGCATCATCAGCATCAGCATCAGCAACAGCATCATCATCATCATCATCATCAGCAGCATCATCATTATCCTGCTCCTTCCCCTCCTTCTATCCGCCCCCCACCACCTCATACCCCTCCTCCGTCCTTTTCCTTCTCCTCCACCTCCTCCGCCTCCGCCTCCCTTTCCTCCTCCTCGTCCTCCTCCTCCTCCGCCTCCTCCTCCGCCTCCCTATCCTTCTCCTCCTCCTCCTCCTCCTCGACCTCCTCCTCCTCCTCCTCAATAGCATCCTCCTCATCCTTCCCGCCTCGCCCCTATCCTTCGTGCTGTCCTCTCCCCTAGAACGCCGACCTCCGACATCAAACATAGATCCAGACGTCGTGGATAATTCACGACGGACCTTCCAGCCATGAATATACATCTATGTGTGTATAGGTACATGATTTCACTCGGCAATAAATCGTAGTCTCAAGCATCGGACCTCTAGGCTTTGAGTGCAAGAGGGTACTATGGGCATGCACCAAGACACTGGGTTGACGATCACAAAGACGCTATCCAGACACTAACGCTGTCAAGCATCAGCGGGGCAGAGTAAGCAAAGACATACAGCTACACCGCAACGAGGCTCTATTACTGCGCAGGACCTCTCATACAGGCTCAGTCTTAGAGACCGCGAGGGTGTCACTAGGAAACTGTTTCAAGACAGACGCGAGCAGAAAACCAGATCAGGTGCCCACCGCCAGCAAATGACACCTGACGGTCAGCGGTGTCACTGCGAGGGTCTGATGTCTTTGACGGAGTGAATCGCCTTTGCGGTCAACTTCAATGGCACTCCGTGCTCGCCGAGAAATAATGGCATGCTGGTGCTTGTCTACTTGATCAGGTCTGCACGCATTCCACCCACCGATTGGAACACAGGATGGTCCTCAGCGATGTCCCTAGGACCAGCGTTGCCGTCGGGCTGACTCTCGTCGCCCTCAAGTGTTGATTTCAGCGCTGTGAAGGAGAACTCTGGAACCTTTGAGAGGCTCATCTTGTCGGACTCGTTCGCCTTCTCGCCGGCAAAGTCCTCGGCGGGGACGACACCTGCGCTGCCGGGATCATGCAGGTCCCGTTTAGCTGCGAGCGGCGTGACAGGGTGAACTTCGTCGAAAATGTTAGCCACTTCTGGTCGCGTTGCTACCTGGCTGGAGAGTCCAGGTGTGGCCGAGGTTGCTCCATGCTCCAGCCTGTCGCCTTCACGCCTGGGCGCGGGGAACAGACTAGCGCCACCTGCCTCATGCGCGATGGTGCTGGCCCCCACTCGCGTGGAGGAGGCTCTTGCCGGCCCCGGCGTTGGGAAGGCACTTGGCAGCCTCATCCCCGTGGTCGGCTCCAGCCCTAGAGAGCGGGAGCGCGAAGGCGCTCTGGAGCGATTCGTGGTCACCAGGGGCTGCGGCAGCGGCTGCCCGGCCACGAGCCTTGGCGCCACAGATGGACACACGCGCGAGGTTCGTGGCGGTGCTGTCGTCGTAGATGTCGAGGCGGACGCCTGTGAAAGGGTCCGCGAGCGTAGTCGGCTACACGTAAGAGTGACCCTGGGTAAGAGTGACCCTTGGTGCGCGGCTTTTTGGGGGCCGCGGGGGGGGGGCCAAACACAAGCGCGCAAAACGCGACTGCCGCCTCGTGTTCGGCGATCGGGGACCCCAATTAGCCCGCACCAAAGGTCACTCCGGCGAAGGGTCACTCTTACGTGTAGCCGAACGTCCGAACGTAGCAACCACCCGCTGCAGAGCATCCAACGGGGCACCACGGGACACCACGGCGGGACAGCCTTGGGCCACCGCGCGCCCGCCCGGGGCGGAGGAGCGGTCCACCGCATCCGAAGGGCCCTCGCGACGGCGGGGTCAGTCCTCCTCATCCTTCTCCTCCTCCTCCTCCTCCTCCTCCTCCTCCTCCTCCTCCTCCACTTCCTCCTCCTCCTCCTCCTGCCCCTCCTCCTCCTCCTCCACCTCCTCCTCTCCTCCTCCATCCTCCTCTCCTCCTCCTCCTCCTCCTCCTCCTCCTCCTCCTCCTCCTCCTCCGCCTCCTCCTCCTCCTCGTCCTCCTCGGCCTCCCGCGCGCCCGCGCAGCTTCGCCTCGCCCGCACGCGCGACACAAACACGAAATCGAAGTCGAGGTCGACTTCCTGGTGGGGGGCTCGCCGCTCCACTGCGATCTTCAACCCCCGACCTCCGAGAAGTGCATCCTGTCTGTCGCAAACGTAGGCGCGTGCGTAAGGGGGCGGGGTGGGCGGTTCGGCTGAGGCTTGGTCACCACTGACGGTCCTGAAGCTTGATACTCGCAGCAATGTTACGGATGGAAGGGCGGGTCCCTTTCAAAATATGGCTCTCGCCTCAGCGCCGCGAACAGTCGTCGTAACAGTCTGTAGCCGCGTCAGAAATGGAGGGCAGCTCCTTCTCTAAAGTTGCGTCTCGCCTTCGCGCCGCGCTGGTTGCAACCGCGTCGAGTATGAGGGCGGATCGCGTTCAAAATGTGGTTCTCGCCTGGGCGCCGCGCACATTCGTCTCATCAAAAAACTGGAGCAGCTTCCAGGGTGCAAGGCCAGCTCTTGACAAACAGTGGCTCTCGCCGCAGAGCCGCGAAGACTCGCCGCGACATCCTGCAACAGCTTCACAGGATGCAGGGCGGACACTTTCTTCAAATTGCGGCGCTCACCTGAGCGCCGCGCAGGCTCGCCCTGAAAGCTTGCAAGAGCTTCAGAGATGGAGGGCGGCTGCTTTTCAAGACGTGGTTCTCGCCTCCGCGCCGCGCACATTCGTCTGAAAAGTCCGCACCAGCTGCAAGGGTGCAAGGCAGTCCTATTTGAAAAGATGGTCCTCGCCCCAGCGCCACGGGAATTCACCAAACCATGCTGCAGCAATCTCGCGGAAGGAACGCGGGTCCTGTTCAAAATGCGGCGCGCACCTGAGCGCCGCGCAGGTTCGCTTTGAAATTGTGCTAGAGCTTCAAAGATGGAGGCGGTTGACGTTCAAAACGTGATTCTCGCCTTCGCACCGCGAACATTCGCCCTAAAAGTTCGCAACCTGTTCAAGGATTGCCAGGACGCAGTGATCATGTTGATTCGCGACATAACTGTCACTTCGATTATTCGCGGCACAGAAGTCTTAAGAACTGTCCTTCGGTACGATAAAGGATTACAGTCAACCCGCATATCAAGGATGGGCAACCTTCCCAAGGGTGCCCTTGTATCCTTACCTCCTCGGTCCATCCCTGGCTACTTTCGTTGACCGCGCCCCGCTCGAAAAGCTTCGAAATGAGCGTCCAAGGCCCTTCCATCCTTATCGCGCATCCTTATGGTACGGCCCGACTGAAAGATACGATTGCCTTTCAATGGGGCACCTCCCGCGGTGAAATGAAATTTTATATGGGACCTGCAAAGAGGGAATTTGGAGGGACGGTGTATTGCAACATCCTTTGAGCGCCTTGGACTTACACTGGTCCTCCTCCTCATTTCTCATCCTCCTCCTCCTCCTCCTCCTCCTCCTCCCTCCTCCTCCTCCTCCTCCCTCCTCCTCCTCCTCCTCCTCCTCCTTCCCTCCTCTCTCCCTCCCTCCCTCCCCCCCCTCCCCTGCCACTCTCCCTCCTCGACCCCCCCGACCCCTCGGCACGGGGCGGCCGCCTCCGCGGCCGCGCGGGCCGCGGCGCGCGCCCTCGCCCGCCAGTGCTGCGGCGCGGCGCGCCCGCCGCCGTCCGCCCCCTCGCTGCTCGCCCGCCGCCCGCGGGCACGCGCCGGGGCCTCCGCCCGCGAGGGCGGCCCAGGCGGTCGGGAGGGCAGGAGGAGGAAACAAGGAACGCAAGGAGGAGGAGGAGGAGGAGGAGGAGGAGGGGGAGGAGGAGGAGGAGGAGGAGGAGGAGAGGAGGAGGAGGAGGAGGAGGAGGAGGAGGAGGAGGGGGAGGAAACGGGGCGCAAGAGCGCAAGAGGCCATCGTATCCTCCCCCGCCTGCCGTTGCTGCCGTTTCTGCCGTTTCCCGCTGCACGGCGTCTCTCCGCCTCCCCGCCGCGTTATCGGCAGGCAGGCGCGCCCCGCCTCCCTGGCTTCGACGGCGAAAGCTGACCTCGGCCCCAGAGAGGAGAGGAAAGCATGGTATTAGTATGGCCTGATATTTATGGTCAGCATCAACATATCTAATACTATTCGTATGGGTATTACGTTTTATATGTCCCAATATTTCTTGAATAAAATGATTATTGTTGCGCGTACGATTAGCATTAGAATTACGCTTGTTGTCAGTACTATGGATATCCAGTTTCCTCGTCGTATTCTGGATATTAGTTAAGTCTAAGTGTGCCAAGTATTAATAGTGTCGCTTTATGTTTGTTCATATTTGTCCTACTATGATAATTCTGCGTATTCTTATCACCAGTCTTTCTTGTGATCAGCATTCGGAGCAGAATGAATACTACTGTTACTCTTCTAACTCGTAAAATTACACGTATGCTTACTAACAGCATTCCTACTGGTATAGTTATTATTCGTTCTCTGCGTACTACTCATATACTGAATCGTATTCGCATTCGTAATCTCATTGCTATGAATATTAGCCGCATGCTTAGCCGTATTCTTAGCACTCGCTTTATTAATATCACTATTGTGATTGTTCTGAATGGTTTCTTGATCGTGTGATGATGTGCCATCTTGTTCTTATCTGTATCCTTCATTGTCATCCGTATGAGTATCAGTAGTTTGCAAGTTATCCGCTGTCCTTGGTATGTCCACACTACGTGTCTTGTTACTCATACTACTCTTAGAGAACATTATGAGTTTGTTGATTCGTATCAGTTCATGCTGGTATTATTATCCTGATGTTCCTATGATTCGTTTTTCTTCCCAATATTAATATACTTAGCATTCGCACCGGTCGTACCATTTGTAGTCTAATAATTATCATTGGTATTCGACGTAACAGTAATGGTAGTATGATTACATGTATCTATAATATGCTTCATAGTCAATACGCATCTCCTGCGTGATGGTCATGTTCTTCTTCAGAAATATATCATCATTATGCTACTCACCCCGATTCGAATCATTCATATGAATCTCCTTAGTGAAATCGTGATTTGCATAAATAATATGAATAGTATGAGTACTGTTATGCGTGCTCGGTCGGATAGTAGTACGTCTCTTCTTCTTGTTACGACTCACATCAGTCCTAGTATACTTCGTATTATCATTACTCTCCATACGCTGAGTACGGATCTTATTACGAACGATCTGAGTAGCATGATTATTAGTACCACTGCTATTGCAAGCGTGAGTCTTACATTTGTTGTCAGTATTATCCGCCTGGTCGTTTTCATCGTTATCATTCATATTTCTCTCTCATTTGAATAGTTGGTGCTGCTCTTATTATCACTATTCCTAGTATTGCGATGTGTCTCATTATTCTTGAGGTTACTAGCTGTCCCCTCCTCCTCATCTTCTTCGCCGAACTCACGTGGAGCGCCGACGCCGCCGCCTCCCCATCTTCCTCCAAATCTTCCTCCTTATCCTTCCTCTTCCCCCCATCACCCCTCCCCTTCCGCCGCCTCCTCTTCCTCCTCCTCTGGTTCCTGCTCCTGATCACGTTCCTGATCCTCCTCCTCCTCTTCCTCCTCTCTCTCTCTCTCTCTCTCTCTCTCTTTCATTCTCTCCTCTCTCCCTCTCCCTCTGTATCCCTGTTCCCCTCTTTCTCTCTCTCTCTCTCTCTCTCTTTCATTCTCTCCCTCTCTCTCTCTCTCTCTCCATTTTTCTCTCTCTCTCTCTCTCTCTCTCTACGTATTTATCTTCCCTTTCCTCTCCTCTCTCTCTCTCTCTCTCTTTCTCTCTCTCTCTCTCTCTCTATATATATCCCTTTTTCTATATACATATATCTCTCTCTCGCTCTGCCTCTCTCTCTCTCTCTCTCTTTCTATCCCTGTCTTTCTCTGACCCTCACTCTCTCTTTCTCTCTCTCACTCTCTCTCGCTCTCGTGCTCTCTCTGTCCCCGTATCTATTGCTCTTTCCCCCTCGGCCCCTGAACTCTCCGAACGCGGTCGGCCCCGGGAAGGATGATCGAACGAGTTGCCTCGCGACTCGTGGTCGGGGCAGGAGGATACTTGTACTGGTAAACAAACAAAAATCACGAGGGGGAAGGAAAGGGGAGGGGAGAGAATGTCGAATAGTGTGCAACGGCGGGAAAGGGAAGGGGAGGGGGAGAGAATGTCGAATCACGAGGGGGAAGGGGGAGGGGGAGTGTGCAATGTCGAATCACGAGGGGGAAGGGAAGGGAAGGGGAGGGGAGAGAATGTCGAAGGAAGAAGCAGGGCTGACGGCGTGCAGCGGTCGAAGGTGTGGGAGGCCAACTGGGCCGCACGGCGGCCAGGCCACCCCTCGCCCAGGTGGAAAGCGCAGGGGCCTCGCGGGGGGGGGGGTCGGAACGTCGCCAACCGGGGGGCGTGGCGGCGTCCGGTGCCGCCCAGACCGGCATGGTCCCGCGAGGACACGAAACGCAGGCTGGGCAGAACT